GACTTTTCCCTCAGTCACTCCTTCTGAAGAACCGATTATCGTCATTCATTCCCGAAACATAATGTTGGATTAAACACTTCTTTGTTTCCCAACTGTCATTAACATACAAAGACTGTCCTTTCTCCTAATAATTCATACTTGACTATTTATGTCCTCGCCTCGATTTCAAGTCGACGACAATACGTCAAAATGTCCGGTCTTTACCATATCTACAACCTCCTAATCCTAATTACTATTCTCTGTCTATCACCCACATGGGCCCAATCAGTGGAGCCCACCGACCTGACCGTGCCACGATCCGCCTGGCACGCAAGTGGAGAGATCACAGACCGTCGATCACTACAAGAACCCGCAGAGGAAACCACAACAGTGCGCCGACGAACAATCATAACAGCATCAAATTCCACTTCGACAGGAATGCCCAAGCCGTTCGACACACTCTCCTACAACTTCGCCAACGCAACCACCTGCATCGACTTCTTCGCGAAATGGCGTGCCAACACGACAATCTCCAATTGCAACGCCATCTCCCTCCTCATCGAGAACTCAAATGCCTTCTTCCACACCCTTAATTCAGCCTCCGCCACCTCCCGCATCCTGGAAACCTCCTGCTCGGCAAATGTCTCCAAGTGCGCATCCATCATGACCGCTCTCGCGGCCGATCTACTCAAACCCGCCAACTGCGGTGACGACTATGATAACGATAACTCCGTCGTCAAGGGCACGTATCGCGACCTCGTCGCATACGAACCAATATACCGCACCACCTGTCTTACAAACCCATCGACCCAGAACTACTGCTTCGTCGACGCAGTGTCGAATTCAAAAAACCCAGATGACTACAACGTGTACCTTATGCCGCTGGGTACCCCTCTCACTGTCGGGGATGTGCCAACTTGTAATAAGTGCTTGAAAACAACTATGGATGTCTTTTCGAAATGGGCGAGACGGGACGGCCAGTCTCTTGATTCGACCTATCTCCCCTCGGCGAAGATTATCAATGCACACTGTGGTGATGGCTTTGCATTAACTAATATCACTGTGGGCTCGGTGGATGTCAGGGCTGGGGCGGCTCTTACTGCTCCCTTGCCCAATCTTGGAATTGCCACTCTCGTGGCTTTAGTTCTTGGTGTCATGGCAGGCCTGTTTTGATCTAAAATATTTATGCCGGTTTTTCTTGTCCATATCTACACTTTTTTTTCTTGTTTATCTTTTGGGGTCCGTCTGCCCGGGTGGGTATGGCCATGGTTGATGTCAGCGAGCGTGCTTTTTGCTTTCTGATTTGACCGTCTGATTTGTACGTAATTTCTAGTGATATTGTCCATATTGCTCTCACTCTGTTATTTTCTTATTCTTTCCGTATACGATAGGGTTGAATCGATTTAACATTTGCAGTTCGCTAATGCCAAAAATGTCCGGGTGAATAATATATTCCTCAAACGCCAGTGGCAAGCATGTCCACAACCACGTATAAATAGACACAATATAAACAAAAAAAAAATCGCATCTGACATCATTGGTTCGAGTGCACATAGTTCGTGATGTAAGAAAAATCTGGCAAAGGTAGCCAACAAAACAACAAAGCAAAAACGCTCACTGACATAAGAATGTTATTTTAAAAAACCAACACGAACCTCATCAGCTTCTCCTCTTCAACCCTCCTCCCATAGCAACACCAACAAGGCTCTGCGGCTCACCTCCAAAGCTAGCCCCTAGACTCATAGGAACCGGCGATCCGCCACCAGAAATAGGACTCTGTGTAGCGGCATCTCGTTCCCGCTTGACACGTATAAAGCCCAGTTTGGCGAAGCGGCCAACATGCGTCCAAAAGTGACGCCCGGCTGGGTGTGCGGCGATGCGCTCGAGAAGATCGGCTGTCGCTTCGCGGACAACCTGGTCCGGATGGAACAGACCCATGCTGACATAGAAGAGACCGGCCTGGTTTTCCGGTGCGATGGTTAGGAGCTGGCAGATACCAGCGTAGTCCTTGACGGATTGGGAGAGGGCGAGGTAGATGGAGGCGGCTTCAGAGTGGGAGAGTTTTAGAGTGCGAAGACGGTCGTGGTGGTGATGGATGTCTGGGCGTTGGATTGGGCGCGCGGGGAAGTACATTGCTGCGATATCTTGGATGTAGGAGTAGTAGGAGCGAGTGTTGCGCCAGCCTTCGATTCGGGAGACGGAGGCTGAGAGCTCGCGCTGCTTGGCGGCTTCGTCTCTCCATACATACCCGTGCCCGCGGAGAGTTGTTGGGTCTGAGGCGTCGGTTTGATGGCCTGTCGGGCTGTCCGGAGAGAGTTCTTCGCCTGGGCCGATGATGTAGAGATTTGAGGCGCCGTAGACTGCTTCTTCGAAGGCTGCGGCGACGCGGACGAATTTTGTTATGTAGGCTCGCCATTTTGCGCGGACGGCATTCTCGCCGTGGCGTTGGCTGATGCTGCGGAGGATATCTTCTATGAATAATGTGTCGCCCGTTGGGTCTTGGGTTGTGTGGGATGAACTGCTAGGTAGAAGGGAATTCTGCTGCTGGAAGAATAGAAGCCCTTCCGTTACCGGTGCAGGTTCAACGTGACTCGAGATCTTGATGCGACCCGTGGGGAGGTCGCACATAACGTCCCACCATTCAGGATGGTTGGCAAAAGTAGGGTTTGTGACACCTGCAATAAAACCAGGTACCTTGAGGAGATCGTCGATCTTGGAAAGATCAGTATAAGGGAATGCGTGTCGAGTATACCCACGTAGAATGCCACCGGACGCAAGAGCGCAGGCCGCCAGAACCGCCTCTGCAACTTCTCCCGATGGCCGGTTATGTCCTAGAAATACGACACGCTTCTGAGTGAGAATGGCGTTGACAAGAACAATCACGGGGTGTGTGAATGGCCCGCTCGTTGTCAAATGGGGATGCGCTGGGAAAGCCTGCGGGGAATTGGCATGCGGCACAGCGAACGTTTGAATGAGCTTGATGAGGGAAAAGTCTCCAACAGTCTCCGGCCAAATCACTGTCGGAATTTTGACTGGGATGGGTATGTCATTGTAGACTACTTTCGACTCGTACTCATGTGTATCCCGCGGTAGGACATATCGGCTCACTTTCTTCGGTGACGGTGGACATTCCCCATCCCGGAGTTCTTCTTCTTCTCGCTGGCGGATCATTTGTTCGAATTTCTCCAGGAACATATCCTTTGAGTTGCTAGATTGCAAGATATGACGCTCAAGAATCGACATTTTCGGCATTAACGAAAGGTCCATGGCATTAACAGCGTCATAGAGGGATGCCAGAGTCTCGGGGAACGGAGATTTGAAGTAGTCCTCCAGCGCTAGGAGTAGTAAAGGCTGTATAATGGTTAGGGTCAGGCGGGTGCTAGTGCCAGGAGTAGCTTACTTTGTAAATGTGGAGGAACGAATGTCGCGTACAGATTGCCATTGCCTTGACTACGGCGCCTCTGTTCGCTATTAATACTCGTACATTGAGACAAGACAGTACGAGTAGGTACAACTTACCTTCGGACGGTATTATCCTGCTTTGTATTGACAAGATTCAGCACATACATCAAGGGTGGCCCTTCACCACCCTCATCATCGCTGCTGTCGGGGTCATCGGAGATCTCGTCCAGGTTCTCGTCCTGAATATCGGCTCCCTCGTGGCTTCCATGATATTGTGATTTCCGTTTTTTCTTCTTCTTTGCACCCGACGAATCCGTTTCTTCGTCGCCATTACTGTCTTTGTGTAAGAAGAACATGGTCCAGTCTTGACTCCGCACATGCGTCTGATCCGGCAGCATCAGCTCTGCAAGCATGCTTTCATCCCCACTGATTGCAGCGGGATACTGATGCTCCATGATCGGCCCCCGATCAATATGGAAGGATGCAACTAGGATGTATTCCACATGGCGCTCCGGCGAGTCGAGTGGGTACTGCGCTTTGCAGCGGCGTGGCCTGAAGCTTGAGGCCGCATTCCCTGTGGATGTTCTCCGAAAAGAACCGTGCGAGCTGCTGGGCGAGCGTCCGATAAAGGAGACCGCAGGCGAGAGCCGAGGAACACCACTTGTTTGGCGGTTATTCGAGGCGGAGAGGGAGTCGTTCGACGGTCGATATGGTATTGTTGTTGCCATCTTCTGGGGGTGTTGTGGATAGAGGATTACTCCGGGCTAAGCTATAAATCGAATAGCATACCTGGGGGCACAGAAAGCACCAGATCAACGGCCAATGATAATAATAGTTGAATTAATTGTCTCGAATTAGCTGTTCAGGGGTTAAGAGGGGTTAAGAAAAAGGACGGTCTCTCCACAGTGGAGAGACGATAAGAGCGATAAGGGGGGGATCCATAACATTCAAAGGTTGAACATCGAGGAAGATGATCTATCAGAATGCAATCTGTCTTTTCTTTTTGGACCGTACATTGTAGATCTTTCTATTTATATTACAGCAAAATTGAGGCATCATATATTGCATTTTTATGGAGTATGAAGTAAAAAATCTGCGAACAAAACAAAACACTGTCCACTTCTAGGCATTTTACCTGATATAGAATAGAAAGGCAACATTGTGCTACAGAACACTTGGATGTACCTTATAGGTATACCCAAAGAACAGTTAATTATATGAATTACCTTCCATTTATCTTACTTTCTATATTTAGACCCTTGGAAGCCAATTGATGGTTGATGTAACGAGTACGATTCCTTATAGATCTAACTATAAACACTTCAAAGTTACATAACTATACAACACCTAGTCAGCCAGATCCTGTTTCTTTCTTTTTTCCTTCAAAATATAGAACTTATATTATACTCTCCTTAGCAAGGTGAAATTACAAGCATTAAAGCCAGACAAGGATCGTACAATATACAATAGAGGGTCAAAAGTGTGTTCATATAGATAGGGCGGTGAGAAAGACGGTGGCAAAATTATGTTGTTGTGCCGGGACTTTGTTTACATCGATAAGCAAGCCTTCGTCATAGGCTGTTTACAATTCATATTTCAGCTCACACGCGAATTTTACCATGGTAACTAAGGATCCTGAGGGATGATATAACTATTAAAAACTAATCAACAATGACCCAGGCCAACAATCCCACATTCAAACCATCGCCGTTATCCTTTGGGTCGCCGAGGGCATCCCCGTTCCGGCGCCCATCCACTCCAAATTCCCCGCCTTCGGCCAGTCGCACAGGAGGCACCCCGGGGAGCTCTCCCAGTCGGGCATATACACCTATGGTATCTCCTAGCAAGCTCAATCAATCATATACAGTGGAGGATGGTGAATCGCGTTCTCCGAAGAACGAGCGGCCCATTCCCCAGCCGAATTTTGCCAGAGAGTTCTCTCCTTCCCCAACGAAAGGAGGAAAGTCGCCAGGCAGCTTATCCCCAATCCATGGGTCAAGGACGGGTGGAGTTGCAAGCCCAGCTGGCGACGCGGCTGGGAAGCTGCCAGCGCAACAAGTGAGGGAGATCAGAGAAGCTTTCCAGGTTCTCGATAGGGATAACGACGGGCTTGTGGACAAAGATGATGTGATTGATGTGCTGACAACTTTGGGTAGGAGAAAATCTACCTATATTTTTTGGAAATTCGGACGAGGGACTAATCCGAGTATCTGAACAGGCCAAGACTCGTCATCCTCTACGCTCTCGCGCTTCTTTCCACCAGGAGCAGGCAATACTATGAATTTTCCAACCTTCTTGAATACCCTTTCTGGGCTCATGGCATCGATGTCACCTTCACAAGAGCTTCTCAACGCTCTTGCTGCGTTTGATGATGATGACAGCGGGCAAATCGATGCCACGGAATTACGTGATGCTCTCCTACATACCTCCCCAGAAGATGGAGAGGAAAGATTGACTGAGAGACAGATCGATGAAGTCTTCAGTGGGTTTATAGGGCGCCCAGCATTTATTGGTCGGGGAGCGAAGTCAGGCGGGATGGGTAAGAGGGGTGAGGTTTTCCAGTATCACGACTTCGTGCGCAGCATCATGGGTGGGGATAATGGAAATAGTGCCAAGAATGAAGGAGATGCACATGTATGAACTGCTATTATGAAATATGGGTTTCAATTGAGTTGGCGTTACGGGGTCGCGTCTTATAATGTTGGCAGTTTGCAGATTCCAAGTCTGTAGAAGCAGGGGTCAGACTATACAAAGCTTGTCAAGAATGATTATGTACCATTACTTGTTCAATTACCAATGATTTTCGGTAACTAAAAGCAGTGAATTAAGTAAATAGAAGTATACGAAGCCAACGCCTTCCGCATCGGCAGAAAAACATCCAGCCACCGCGATCAGATACACTCCACCTCGTCAACTGCACTCATCTCACCCCGTTTCCTAGGATGTCCGCTCGTGAACATCAAATGCAGACTTGAATTCAGAAAAATGGCCAAACCTCAGCCCCCCTGGGCTCTTGGCATCCCGGGCCCCGACGCACCCCCATCGCCGCGAACCATGCGAACCCTCCGAAAGATCCAATCTCACCAAGTGCTGTCAACATCTAGCGCGCTCATTGCCCAGACCCAGGCGTCTCAACAAACTGGCTCCCATGAATCTCAACCTGGATCAACAGCAACTCCTGGTGCTGCGGCCCGAGCGCGCGCACATCGCCGAGCTCGATCAAATAGCGACGCGGCTTCTCGTGAAGCTGCGGCAACACCACCTGCGACTCAGAGACGACCCCCGCGGAAAACAGGGTCGGGAATTGGAATAAAGCGATCGCTTCTAGAGAGCTTTTTGCGCGATGGACCGCAGAGTTCAAATCCCAACGAGGGACTGAGAGAGCTCAAATACCTCGTCCTATCCAGCAGAGTGGATGCTGACGGAGATGGCATGGTGAGGGGTACAGTCTGCTTTGCAAAATTAATGTCTAACACTTCGCAATAATAGTCGCCGTACCGGATCTACCTCTGGTTGGTCCTCCTCGACATTCCTCCTATGCCCACCGATGAATACCTTGATCTTATCCACCGCGGGCGTTCTCCCGCTTACGCCAAAATTCGCAATGATACTTTCCGCACACTAGCCACAGACCCTCTCTTCAAACGCCGAGTGACGGAGGCAAGCTTGATTCGACTCCTCAACGCCGTGGCATGGAAACTCCACGATTCCAGGCCGAAACCTCGGTCTCGACCGACGTCATCTCGGCGCCGTGAGATGGAGCTTCTAGTGAATGCACCCCCTAGTATTGCAGAAGAGTCTCCCTTTGGGGGAGAGTTGGAGAAGATCACTAATAGTACTACAAGTGATTCAGCCATGTACGTCCAAGGCATGAATGTCTTGTGTGCGCCGTTCCTCTATGCTGCCCGTAGCGAGGTGGAAGCATTCGCTCTGTTCCATTACTTCGTCACACGTGAATGTCCAGGCTATGTCCGTAGCGCTATGGATGGAGTCCACAAGGGCCTTCGTTTGGTCGACCGATGTCTTGAGATTGTGGAGCCGAAGCTTGCAGCATATCTGTTCTCCAAGGGGATGCACGCCGAACTGTACGCATTCCCATCAGTATTGACCCTCTGCGCTTGCACGCCTCCATTGCCAGAGGTGTTACATCTTTGGGATTTCTTATTCGCATATGGGGCACACCTGAACATTCTGTGCATTGTCGCCCAGCTAATCCGTATGCGAGACCTAATTTTGGAGAGTCCGAGGTAAGTCGAAGGCTGTCCTTTGAATGTATCTGACCATAGCTGACTTGAGGATAGCCCAAACAAAATCCTCCGCTCATTCCCTCCCCTCAATGCAAAGGAGATCATTGCGTTGACGGTTCTCCTTGTCCGTAAGATCCCAGAAAACCTTTATGCAGAGATGATTAGCCATGCAAAATAGACATGGCTAGACCTAATTGAGAGAGCCCGAGGTAAATTCCAGCCTGATGAGGAGCTCTGACCGAAAGAAAGATTTTACTACCTGGGATTTGTTTTCGGATCGGCGTTTTTGATATGATTGACCGCAACGATTGCGTCTGGTGACTGGATGGGATGAGACTTACATTAACGAACACCAAAGATAACACGCTTGCTTGAATGAACTAATGATTGTACCAGTATTTGCTAGTTTTTGAGAATCCATTTGAGATGAGACATGATTCTCCCTTTTAGAATTCAGATGTTTTACTCTTATGGACCATGCTTCCCTGTTCGTTTGTCAAAGGATGAAACCCTACTTTTCCTCAGTTCTCTTGAGACATAACAAACATTGTTTGCCACAAGACAAGAAGAGATGATTGCGAAAGCAGCAAGACATCTTCATTAACGCAATCTGCATGATTTAGGCGCCTTTCATCGTCTGCGCTATAAGTACTAAGTACCCTTTACTTGACCCCTCTTTCTTCGCCCCATCATTACCCAGAGAAATCAATGTCGTCCGTTCTAATAACATCTATCGTCCTGGCCGTATGCCTTGTCCTGATTCTGATATGGAGCAACAGGCGCGAAACCAATTTCGCATCGAATGACCCAGCGATATGCCGCAGAATCATTGCCGGCGTGTTGAAACACAAAGACCAACCGAATAACCTATCACCACACCAAGCGAAAGCAATTTCCAACAAACATCTCCCAGTCGCCTTCGGAATCGACAACGCCTTCACCCGAACAGAGCGTGCGCATGCCGACATGTTCGTCGAGAAAGTGAAACGGCTGATCAATATATCGACGGAGCAGTGGTACGGCGTATCCGAGTTCGCTAGAGTCACTACCAGCCACTGGATCGAGCATGGCTTCCCCGGGATGAATCATAGCTGCGGCAACAGCGGTCACAAAGGAAAGAATGATGTGAAGTTCACCACCGGCCGTAATCGGATCAACGTCGCCAGTCTAGCACAAATACTTTCATTGAAAGTTGTGCTATGGCTGATGTTCGACAAAAAGACTCAAGACGAAACAGGCCACGAGAATCTACTGAACCTAGCGGAGTCCATCAATCGAGTTTGGATATCTTCCAAGCTGAAAGCCACGGAGAACGATATTCCCAGATACGAAGACGACGTGTTGCTTCAAACGTCGCTGGTCAATATCTTCGGGCAACACGATCGCCCAGAAGACAACCCATTGAATCTCATCCTGCCTTCATTTGAGACGATGTGGCGCATCGTCTTGCGAGGATTCCTAGAGACCAGATTCGCGTCTGGAAAAGAAGAACCTTTGTGGCGGGAGACAATGATTGCATTTGCCATGAATCCCACAAAATCCCAATTCGACGGGCCCCCGTCCACTCGTCCCAAGTCTGAATCTAGGGTTAATCCCAGCATAGGCGATACACATGCTATTCAAAGTTCACCCTGCGCAAAACACATAGTTCGGGAATCGCTTCGGCTGTATGTGCCCACGAGACACATACATCGAGCATATCAGTGGCAACCGGGTATGGGGACTTCTCATGAAATCAGGTCCGCTGATATCGAGGGGTGTCATCTGAGGTCCGATATCTGGGGTTCTGATGCAGAGCGATTTAACCCAGATCGGTGGTCGTTTCTGACGCCGGCGCAGGGAGACGCTTTTATGCCTTTTGGATCTGCGCCCTTTGAATGTCCTGCCAAGCCGACTTTCGGGCCAAGGATGGTCGGGGTCTTGGTTGGTTCTTTGTTGGCGGCTTTGGAGGATAAGGAGCATCCGAGGACTTGGATTTTGGATTGTGAAGATGGGAAGGTGTTGGAGCACGTCACTTCTGGGAAGAGGTTGTGTCCGCATAGGAATTCCTATACGGATTTATATCTAGTGCGGTCTACGGAATAGAGAATAGTGAATAGTGAACAGAGATATCTATGGAATATCTTTCGAACACATATCCTTATGTATAAGTAAAGCAAGCGGATGTATGGGAGGTCGGAGCTGGGATTTATAGTCAAAAAAATGTAAACGCCTAGGAATCACAGAATAATTTACGTCACCAAGAAAGACCACTACCAACAGCCAATAAAGCACAGCACGAACGAAACTTATGTATGTTGATATCGACCACACCCGCCTCGAATATTACATAGCTCTATCACGTAGGCGCAGATATTGGTGAAATCTCAACCGACTTTTTCAACCCAGACCCATCTATCACCAGAGGCTTAGAAACACCAACAGCATTGGCTTCTGCGGTCATCTCATCAGCCCATGACTGACACATATCCCTATTGCCAGGTACCGAGGCTGTGGTGTCTGAGCCAGCAACACCTAACATTCCGTCGACTTTTACGGCCCGCGTGAGACGAGAGCCACGATCAAGCTTCACCCTGATCCGTGACCCAAAGAAACTCAAATTGTTGAACATGGTCACAGCGCACTGGGCTTCGTCTGCTGTTCGCATGGTAACCAAGCCGCGGAGCCGGCCATTGAAGTCGGCCGAGTCCATGGTGATTATTCTGCATTTCTGGACAGCACCGGCTGCTTGAAGAAGGATTTTCAGATCGGTGCAAGTAGTAGCCGGATTCAAGTTCTCGATTATGATGGCTCGTCGGTCTGAATAGATGAATGGAGAGCCAAGGTTTGTGCCTTTGGCGCGTGATTCGCGATGGTGGTAGTTCTGGTGGTTCTGTGATTGATTGTCGCTCTGGTGGTGCATGTGTTGTGGAGGCGACATCTGATAACCTGGCATCATGTTCCAATATGGCTCGTACATTGGGCCGTTCATTACTGGGGATGGGGGGAAACACTGCATCGGTGGTGCGTGTGAATCTGGCATCATAGTCATGAATCCTTGGGGTGGCATTGGTATGGGTACCATCATGACGCCATACTCTGAGTATGAGTATGGTGGAGTGGCGGGGTGCGAGGATCTGGGGAGGAAGATTAGCTTTCATATTTTATACTTGAGGATATAGACTCACTCTGGCGAGACGGGTGAAGGGGGCATTGCCATGTTTCCATGTACTGATGGAGGTGTGGAGTGGCCAGAGATATAGCCCGTGGACATCATTGCTGGACTTCTGGTAGGCCCGGCAATGGGCTTGGTGGGCGTACTGGTCCGCGAAAGTGTGACGACCAGGCTCTGACCCTCCCATCCGCTGGTCGAAAGTCGATCTGTGTTGTTGTTAGGGCGGATCATTGGGGATTGCGGGATAGACACGTACGGTACGTTCGCCAGGCCTCGTCTTCATTCTTGACGATGATCTGGCCGAGTCCGGTGGGGAATCCATGGCTATCATCGTATACTACTGCCTGGCGAATATGCAATGCAGTTTGGCGGACGAGATCTTTGAGTTCTTGCCAGCGGCAATGAGGTGGAATCTGGAATTCTTGTCAGTACTTGAACGCATTTGACATAGATATCAAACTCACGCCTTGAAGGAATACGACAAACTCATCATCCGACCTGCGCGATCTGGGATGGTATTTATCACGACCGAGAAGAGGCATGGCTGCAGATACTCCGAGACAACACACCCCGGTATTTCAGTGCCGAAAGCGTACTAGCTCAGACGTACGGATTGAAATGGCGGATAGAATTCGGTCCGTCGGTGTTGCGAAATAGTCGAGGCTCGACTTGTCCGACCAGGTGTTTGGTTGAGTATAGAACTTGGACAATTGGGCTTTCTGTCAGAGGGCTATGTTAGCTTAGGGTATATAAATATGATACCCGGGACGACTACAGGAACGACATCACAAAGCATCAAGGTGTAACCAGGGTGCAATACCTGGGAACAAATGGCACACACCTGCCTTTTTTTTTTCTCTTCCTGTCGGATAAATGCAAGTCAACGTATTGGTCTGACCGACAACTGCAGGGAAAAGAGATAAACCCCTCCACGAGCTGGACGAAGGTCGAGCAGATTATAAAGCCCTGGAACAAAAAGGAAGAGAAGTCGATGTTTCACAAGAACAGTTAGGATGATATATGATAGATTCAATTAAATTCTTACTAGTATTAATCTACGATAGTCTCATGAGCTTACAAGTAGAAATCACGGGGGACCCAGAATACTGCACAATCTGGACGAATGGCGACACCAGTCGATCAGCAGTAGCCAGTCATATCAGAGAACAAGCAGTTCCCTTTCTCTTTCCAACTGAGATCTGTCATTTTCACCATGAGTTCAGCTCTGCCAAATATTAGAATACAATAGAGTGGCTCTGCCGTCCCACCTCCCGGGTATAGTCCCACTTAGTCAAGGCCTATCAGGGGCCCTAACATGTAATATGCCCCCTCTTTCTTTGCTATCCATATTTAAATAATCATCTCGATCACGTACGGGGGTATATCCACAGAGGCAAATCACTCCGTAAGCTGTGCTTACTTGACTTAGGGAGGATGTAGTGTTACACCGCTAGATCCGGATCGGACATGCGGAGTGGCCATGCTAGTGGACATGCATAGTGGACCTGTATTCATCACATTGGCTTCTGTGTCTAATGTCAGATCGGAAACCCTGGAAAAAAAGCAAAAACAGCAAAGGATGGGCAGGAATGAAAGAAAAAAGAAATGGTTTTATGAAAGGGAGATCAGTCATATCTTGCAGATATTGGTTTTTCTTTTTTTGGATCAATTACATTGACTATTGATTTATAGGCGTAGCTCGCTAAGTACCTGCAGATAAAATATAGATGGAATTATTGAAGGATAACTCCGGCTCAAATTATTGCCCTAAATTCTCATGTGGACAGACACCGCCGCAAGTCGTCGTCGGGTATTGAATATGTACTCGTCCTTAGGATATGGAGAACCAAGTGTCTTACAGATCTTCAGATAGATCTCTGTGTTCCCTTTGACCAAGGCCGATAACTACAATAGACATGCCGCAGGACATGTGCGACTGTTAAAAGTATATCAAGACAAATGACCATCCGCACAGCTACGGACATCCTAAGTATTTGTACTATGACGATACGCCACCAAGGCACTGGGCTCCAGGGGAGATCACATGGCCATGGTCTCTACACATATCTACGGCCTCTTTTATTGATGGATTGTGGCAGAGAATCTTCTTTGGATTATGTTCAGTTCTTATGTTAATTAAATTATCCTTCCACGGGCGGGTGATTCCCTGCTAAATGCAGATGATTACACTCTATTACGGACATGATTAGCCTGCAAATGGTACTATTTATATAACAGGCCTATGTATAGGCAAGGGATCGTGTTTAGTTATGTTTCAATTCAAATAGAAGGATAAAGTAAATTAATCTAATTCGATGTTGGAAAATGTGATATCAGACAGTGTCGCTCGAAACAGATAATGAGATAGGGACCCAGTGGGCGATCGCTGAAGGGCAAAATAAACCAAGACATGAGACCGGCTCCATGCCGTACAATAACCTGCTGCAATATGCATAAAAAGGGAAAATGTAAACAGCATTGCCGTTTATAAAAGTTGGTGAACCTGCAAGAGAACGCATGCCTGACAAATCAAAGCACAAGAATCCACATGCAAATAGTATGTTGTGGTCAATGCCGACCGAGTGGAATGAACCAAATTCGATGATATCCCAAGCGCACCTCGGTCCAAAGCCCCGTGGTTCTTGCGCCGATAATCCCTGATCCACAGGCTGCCATTTCCGGTGTCCAACCTGTACAATCCTCCATAGGCCTCATAATTCGTAAATCGTGATCAACGAAGATCAGGTAGTGCCAGCACAGCCCGGGCGAGGTCGGAAACGAAGGAAAGCATCGAAGAAACGGGATAGAACGTTATTTCATTCGGAAAGGAAGTCGCATCTGTCCTCGCGACGGGGGAGGGATTTTGGTTTGCAAGTCGGCTTTTGATGTTGATCCAATCATCGCTTGACTCCCCGGATCGTCCGGTTTATTTGGTCCTCGTTTGGGTTTATTGTGGGTGTGTATATCGTGCTCATCTCATCCTCCGAAGCCGACCTTGGCTGCGCAGCGGCTGCAGTAGTAAGAGTTCATGCCGAACTGAACAACGCTGCGGCCTGATTGGCCTAGGCTGAGAGATTGTTGGCAGCGAGAACATCGGACAATGTCGAGAGTCTGGGGAGAAGTGGCCTCCGATGGGCGAGCAACGCCGGCGGTCTGAGGTTGAGGAGTAATTTGCACTGGAGAGCTCATTTTGAGGAGATTTTGAACTCGAGTGAGGATTTGAAAGAGAGAAGGGCGCTGGAAATTGTTTTGCGTTGACGCAGTTAAGAGGTTGAGCCCCGTGATTTCTTGGTTTACTCCGGTTTTCTTTAAGTGATGATGATTTGACTTGGTAAACAGGAAAGGTGTAGAAATATGAAACAGGGAAAGATCACAGGCTTTTAAATTGTTTTCAAGCCACGAAAGACTCCGTATTCCCCCTTCTCTTGCCGATCATACATGTGGGCTGACATATGGGCTGCTTTTAGGCTCTTGTTCCAATAACTCGGCGCTGACGAGGCCATTATTCCGATAACTCTGTTACCTACGCCCATCGGCCATGGCGATAACACACATCTCCGGCATAATACGATCCTTGATCACTGGCCTATTGGAAAACTAAAAAGTTGAAACAACGTCGTGGGAGGCACTATATTTGATACAAAATTGATCATCTCCACTTTCATCCAAAACAGAACTAAATCAGAAGGAATATTTTTAGAGTCATGTACATTTACGTAGGTGGGCGTCTCAATATCTCGACTTGCAATATAAATACAATCTACCGACTTGGACGTATTTCTATTATTTCTTTTAAGTTCTGAAGATCCTGAGGTCATTGTCATTGTCATTGGGGCTAATACCCTTGGAATACTGCAGCTAAGCCAGTTTAGGCCATGAAGCCAGAGAGAAAGTCGAATAAGGTGTGGCAAACCGAAGGGAAACGGATCTCCAAATGAATTCATTGGACGATTCATTGGCCAATTCGTTGGGAACCTTGGAATTGGAACATCCCACTTTGGCCGAAGTCCATGGATTTCCACGAATAGCACCCGTGGCGCATGAGATTCGCGAGCGACGTCATATTACCTGGATTCGGCAACCTCTCCTCTTCTCTCCACCTAACGTGCTACGTTGCAGATTGTCGAGTCTTCAATTCCCCCCCATCTTCGAGCCTAGGCCAACGCCAAAAACCGTTTAGATTCGGCCCTTGCCCCGCAAAAAACCGAAATATTTCCTGCCCCTCATTCTTGTCCCACCCACGTATCACCATGGCCACCGGACACCCCAACCTTCACAGCTTTCCCAACAGCGATGAGCTAGCTGCGCAATTGCGAGGCTATGTCCTCCGCTGCCAGAACTCCGCTTTTTCCCGACATGGCACTTTCCGCCTCGCCGTCTCCGGTGGCTCCCTGCCTGCCATTCTAGCTAAAGCTCTCCTCGCCCCGAGCAATGGCTCCCCGGAAGATACTCCCCAATTCTCCAAATGGCATATCTTCTTCGCCGACGAGCGCGCTGTACCGCTCGATGATGAGGAAAGCAACTATCGCCTGCTGAAAGACGAGCTCGTCTCCAAGATCCCCGCCAAGTTCGGCTCACCTGTCGTCCACGCCATCGACGAAAAGCACATTGGGGATGACGATCCCCAGGAACTCGCAGATCTCTACCAAGAAGACCTGATGCGCGAGTTTGCCTCCAAGGAAACTGTCAAATTGCCCGCCTTCGATCTCATCCTTCTGGGCTGCGGTCCCGATGGCCACACCTGCTCGCTCTTCCCTGGCCACGCCTTGCTCCGCGAGAAGGATGCTTGGGTTGCTGCTGAGACAGACTCCCCCAAGCCCCCGCCTAAGCGCATCACCCTCACTCTGCCTGTTGTTACCCACGCTCTCAATATTGCCTTTGTCGCGACGGGTGCGGGCAAGAAGGGAATCCTGAAGAAGATCTTTGATCTTGAGGAGGGCTCTAGTCTGCCTTCCACTCTGGTCAACCAGGGCGCTGGTGAAAAGGTGACCTGGTTCACGGATCACCCGGCAGTGGATGGTGTTTCATTCCCTCGTCGTGGGAGTCTTTAAGGTGTGAGATGTCCTAGATGGATTTGAGAGGTATGGATATGGTGGCTTCTTTCCTATTTCGTAACTCTGGATATGCCTTGCATGGCATTGAATCCGCTGGCTGTGATGAAAAGTGATTGCTAGGATTAATAGACCAAACTCATATCTTAATCTGTCATTTTTGTCCATACATTATACCGTACAGTAGCGATTTCTTCAAGAAGTATTTCCAACATCGGAAGGTCCTATTGTTTGTCTGCTTATCCTTTCAGGTCTTTCTAGCTGGAATACTGCAAACAAACGGCCTCAATAAGTCCGGAGACAACAAATATAACCAACTGACAGTTTTGTAAGACATTGTTGGCATTTTAGGGCGAGGGAGATATTAGAACCGGTAGCGGAGTTCAACCCACTTTCAAGGAGCAGATAGCTAAGTCCATGATCTTTCTCCCCTTTTGGTTCGATGACCAGGTGTAACAGAGATATTATCTCGTAACAAGACAGAAGGTTACATTTATTTTTGAATTGCTCACAATTCGCAATGAGAGATATATCACGCCGGTGCTATTCCTAAACCTGACACTGCTATTTAGAAGGCAACTATACAGGAAACTAGACATATGATCATCTTACCAAATACTCGTACGCTATTCAGCCAAAGAGTGGTGTCGAGAATTCTTGATTAGAAGATCCTTTATTGATTGATGTAAGATATTTGCAGATCAATCAAATGTGGTCATATGGAGCTGAACCCCTTGCATTATGCTGATTCTCCAACCGCAAGCATACCCGAAAATTCGTTGAGATTTGCCAAATTCAGGCTCTGTACAGCGTATCACCTCAAATGAAACGGGTTGCCTAAGAAGGCCTATCTAGAAAGGGGCCAAAAATGTTCTTGTTGTCCATGCTATTTGCTAGCATATTGCCTTACCTTTGAATAAGCCCCTAAAGCAGATACGAGACAATTCATTGAGAGATACATACCCAATCTAGTAACGTATCTTAATGTCTTATTCTGCCATAGATACGGAGGACAATGTACTTTGACAGTGAGTGCCCAAGTCACGCAGCCCGTGCCGATCTCCCGTTTCTAGCCGGCCCCCCACAAATGCATGTAACCCCGGATTTCCTTACGGGATATAGAGTACAGCTTAGTCTATGGCCTCTTTAACGGTTTGGGCAGTTACTAGCCTAAACTAGTTGGTATGATAAATGCGTTTTGGATATGGAGCATCTAGACCATAGGTGTGACGCCTATCACTTGACCGCTAGGTACAACAAACAGCTAAATGCCGGTCAAGTAACCCACAAACATGAAACGACCCAACTAATAATAGTCCCCTACTCTCATATATGCCCACAGAGAAAGCTCAATTGGTCAATACGTAATCGGCCGAGACTCGTGGACCCCTGGGGCTGTCTTGGCTGTCGATGCTGCATTGCCCTCTTTTCTCTGTGACATTGTGCTGGCCGGCCCTAGCTGTTTTTGCATTTCTCCAAACAACCCTGGTCACTCTGTTACAATTAAGAGGTATTAGCGAGAAATCAAAGTTATACGAGGGAGAAGAACTCACTCCACCATCAATCTTGCAAAGTGTGAAGCAGTTGTTGGACCGGGAAGAAAGTGCCACTCCTTTGCCGGCTTCGATAGGTGAGGCAAGGGCTAGACCAAGGACAGTCGCAAAGGCCCAAATAAAGAAACGCATATTGAAGGTGTTGGCGGGATAGGTTGTTGGATTTGTGGTGGGAACTTTTGAGGATTTGATAAAGTGATGATTGTTTCTCAAGGTACACTGGAGCCTCCCTTTTATATTATCCTTTCTATTGTATACTACGTGATATTAGATACTCAATTCATCCCCCTTGACTGCTGTGGGGTTCCGCTCCCACGACTCGTGCGGGCTTATGTGCATGATCTCCAACATGCAGGGAGGATCCTCGAATGCTCACTCATATTCCAAAAATGCCAAGATCGATCTACATGGAGATTATGCTGTTTGAGTAAAGACCTACAACTTCCTTTTCAGCTCGATGGCTATACGGTGTCGGCTGATCCAATTCCTGCAATGTAACCTCAAATTGCGAACCAGCAAGGCATGGTTCTGGTACATTAGGCGTCCAACTATAAAGATCTGCAGCCTATTGCAACTATTAGGAAAATAGTCAAGATAACATCGGTCCCATATAAAGCCCGATGCCCACGCGAGTTATGAAACTAATTCGTCAGAAGTGCACCCATATTCACTACAAACCTCACAAAGAACCTCAAAAAAATCTTTACAAATCAATCCCTCAAACATGAAGCTGTTTATTGTACTTTTTGCACTTGCTGCCTACGCAATGGCCGAGGCCGGTCCGAACCTGGAGGCGAGAGCTGGGTGCTCCCAGAAGGGACAATATTGCAACGACGGTACATTCCTGTGCTGCCCGGGACAAGGGAGCTGTAGTGGAGGTGTAGTAAGTTTGCAGCAGCTCTCTCTCTAGAGACAGATATGGTCAAACATGATATCAGATGGCTAAAATGAGTCATAGTGCAAATGAGCAACGATATACCTACCAAGGGAGCGCAGAGGTAGCTTTATGGTTACGGGATCCATATATCGAGATTGTTAGGACTGTCTCTTTGGTCAAAGTTCGGGGTACTCCAGGCAGTGTGTTCCTATGTTGCCGATTCTAAACGGCCGTGGATATAGCTTTCCATCCGCAATAAAAACCAACAATCCAATGAGGATTTATTGCACCTTGCTCCAAGTCCCTGCTTCATAAAGTCAGCCCGAGTTCGCAACTTAATTAGTAAGATGGCTCATACCCCTCTAGCTCGATATTAGTGGAGCGTAGATCCCCGTGGACAATAAATAGTCAGCCGGCCTCTGTCCTTGACATTATAGCCTTCGATTGCAAATGTTTTCCCAGCCGTTAATACGTACAACCCATTGTTTAGCACTCATGATAATATCTCACACATGCTCACGCATAGCAACCCATTCGCTAACATCATGAGCAGCTATGCCCTTAACCTGCCTTATATTAGCTATAACATCTGTTCGCTCGAGGGCCATCATGTCAGATGTTGCTTCACAGACTTCATTTGACACTATATCTTGCATTAAGGTGAAGAACACTATCATTGCCGGAACCCAGGATGGTACCATTTGTGTGTGAGATCTCACCAAGAACAACAACAACCATGCCTCATTGATCCTTAACGGACACACAGGTGCGGTGTTGTGCCTCAAGTTGCACGGCAACTACCTTGTCTCTGGTGGTCATGATGGGGTGGCTCGTGTCTGGAACATCGAAACCGGCCAATGCAAGGATGTACTCCGAAGCCACGAGAGAATGCGCATGCAATTGTCACTGCTAGCACATATAGGACCCACAGCGCAAAATCAGAGATCAGGGGGTGGCTGCGAAACATTGAAGAATTTGCAGGTATTTTAGGAACTACGATAGTCAATGCAAGTTCAAGTACATTGACTCCGAATTGCTGGACCACCTCCATATGGTGCGAGATGACTTGGTGGATATGTTGCCAAGTGGAATGGGTTGTGCTCGACGGCAAAGACGGCAATGGCGTCATTGCTCTGGCTACCATGCCTACCTGACCATCTCGCACATGCAATCTCGCATTCGACAGTAATTGATATTTCTCCCATCTCACATAACTGCCGTTAGGTGCCCTCTATCTCAATATATAACGATGTGATTAGGAAGTGACGGGAAAGTGACTGCTAGCTGAACGTCGACAAAGGTAGCCTAAAAGAGGTATACTCGTCGGGCATAGAGATGTGGGTTTTATTCTTTTCAACATATCCAAACAAAATCCGAGATCATTGTATTTTCTTTTTTTTTTCAAACACTTTCCCATGTGTTGTGACTGCCGGAGGATATGTTATAATCTCATCTGGTGACAAGCTGATATGCACTGGTGGAGTGTAGGTTAAGAATAAAAGAGTGGGTTACCATAGGGAAGATCGCACACATCACCTCCCCAACTCTCCGTTCACAACAAAACACTCATTTCATGAACCCAATGCATTATGCCGATTCTCATTTAATGACCTAATACGACCATGCCTATCCCAACACGTTCATTTTCGCTGCGTGATCCCCGTAAACAAGTCAGTCCCCCGGTTGTTTATCCCTTGAAGCTCCCCACAACTGTCGCATCCCTCACTGTGCCACTATTGCCATACCAACAACTACAGAAAGAAACCATGCTAATTACTAAAGACTTCAAGTATAGCACGACCTGCCACAAAAACCCCCACTCCACTACCCGGCACCGCTAGCCCGAGCAAGGACTCTGCTCAAGAGACGAATAGCAAGAACCGCTCGCCATCAAATCCCTCGCCGGTCGAGGGTGTTGCTTTGAAAGACAATGGACCCACTGCTCGAGGAAAAACCCTACTTCCTCAGCGCAGTAATCTTGCCCTAGACAATGGTCGTGGCACGGGACATGGGCGCATTCAGCCACCTAGCATCAAGCCGAAACCACGCGGGCACCCGTCACCAATTAGACAGCCAGAGATATCGCCAGCTAGGAAACAAACACAGGCAGATTCCACAGCAATAAAGATTGGGGTAGCTCCCAGCCGTCGTCAAAGCATCATGCGACCTGGTGCCTTGAAGGTGCCTTTAGCGAAGATCACGGTCGCTTCGTCAAAGAGCTCGGCACAATCATTCGCGCCACCCTCACCCCGCAAAGCTCCAGGAAGGCCATTACCAGTTCAGCCTCATACGATCAGAAGCCCCTCTTCACCCAAGAAAACAGAGATGCTACCTCCACCACGTCCCACACGGTCCCTCTCTTTACGGCAACCTGTCAGCGCTAGCAAGGGACCACCCACAGCTGCCAAAACACATGTCCGGCACAAGAGTCAGCTGGCACAGAATACAAAACAAGCCGAAACAACCCCGGTAATCGGCCAACGTGCACGAGCACACTCAACATACCAACGGCCGTCGTCCCCAAAAAAATCGTCCAAACCTCCAACGCCTACCCCTGGAGCCGAACCTCAGTCTGGAAATGTACTTATCCCTTCGTCGTGGCCGGATATCGCAGCACTACAAACAGAACTTCTTCAGCTCAGTCTTTTCCATTCCAACTCACTACAAAGCCAAGCTGAATGGAAGTCTGATTCCGAGTCACGTCTGCGCAAAAAGTATGACAGTGTCGCTAGCCAATATCGATTGGTACTAGCAAATGAAACGCAACAGCAGTGTCACCTGAATGCACAGGCCCTACGGCTTTGGCTTTCCAATTGTCGCGAACATCGCGGTCCGCATGATTTCTCCGAGCAAATCCAAATTCTATCACGGGTTCTACAGGATGTCTCGGACATGATTGCTGGCAGTCGAGGTGCACAGTACTCTCGGGCTGTAAAAACCTTCGAAGACTGGCTCAACCAAGCGGAGCTTATTCGTCATAAACGTGGGTCGGGGTGCCTTGATGTCGGCGCCTTTATTGATCCCCTGGGGCGGAGCTGGAAAGAATCATTGCATGCTTTAAATGTGAAGTTGGAACTCTGCGTACGCCAATTACAAGTACTTGATATCCCGGGCTTGGGGGAATTGGAGCGTCTAGAACAGTCTGCTCTTGCCAGAGTGGCCAGGAATCTGGTTGAATTGATACAGCTGATGATGCAGGAGATTCGTGCCATGCAAACATTGGAGACAGAAGTGGTGCGTTCAGAAAGAGATTATGTCGGCCTTCTTGCGACGCAGCTGGTATGCTCTATGAAGGGAACGAGGGCTCCCCAAGTCGGCGCATGGAGGAGCTAGTCTGTGGTTTATGCATCTTTGCATAAACATGTAGTTTTTTACCACCTGTACAAACGTGCGCATATTACGTCGAAATGAAAAGGAATGACATTACACGAAGAGTGACAGTATTTCGCCCAAAGTACCTTGCGCCCAATCATATGTAGCTTGCACACGGTATCTAGGTAACTAGTACATAATGGAGATGGGACCCTGCAACGGGGACAGCACTGGGACCGACAGCCCTACCTGCGAAACAGGCGTGAGAGAGAAGTCGTCAATAGTGGTATTAGTGTACTAGGGAGGAGAACACCATGGGGTGACTACTAAGAAGAGAAGGTGGTTGATGTCTGCGTTGCTATCTCTGCCTCGGGGGGCTTTTTTAGTTATCACGTGGCAGCTTAGTCATCCTATACTGGAGCCCAACAAGGTAAACCGATGAGTCAGCCACCGTCATCTCCACCAGGGCTCTAGATCTTAGAGTTATCGCTCGTATTCCCCTCATACTTTGATTTCTATCTTTCTCACTCCATCGTCACTTGTCTCTTTCTACACCGTACAGATATCTACTGGAATGATATGCTTCATGCAGGGTGATGTAACCTTGGGAAAGTTATCTCTCAGCTCTCTTCTTGACGTCATCCACGGCAGCTTCCGTTTTGACAGATAAAAGTCACCCGCAAAGAGACGGTATCCACTTGCTTAGTACCTTTCGAGATGATCGCCGATCGTACCTAGTGAAGAACTTCAACTTTCTCCCCCATCTAATCCAGTGATCATGAAAGACTCGCTTTACGATCGCCTTTGGCGCCGGGAATGCGGGGAACAGCTGCGGTATTCTGGGCTTCGGGGAATTTACGGATCTAAGGAATGGATCAATGATCTCGACATTGTGAACGAACTCGGTGGGCATACTGGTTGTGTCAATGCCCTCAGGTATGTTTATAGCTTCTGCCTAGGCCTAGGTACTCGGTTTCATCGACTGGCCAACACCTCCACCATTTCTGATGCTTGCCATGCTAACAGTCTCGCAGTTGGTCAAAGTCAGGGCGTCTTTTGGCGTCGGGCTCTGATGATAGACACCTCAATATCTACTCCTACCAACCCGACTCCTCCGATGCCCCATTCGCGCTCAACACCACCGTTGCCACCGGTCATAAAGCAAATATCTTCTCCGTCAAGTTTATGCCACACTCAAATGATGGGACTCTGGTTACATGTGCCGGCGACTCGCAGGTTCGCGTCTTCGATATCGAATATTCAAGTGGGAGTAGAAATGATGCTACCACCTCCGCATTTGCAGCCTCCACTCAGAGCCGAAGCTTCGATGAGTTCTTCAGTGGCACGCGGTACCTGAGTGACGGCAATACCAACGCCAGATTGTATCGAAGCCACGCCGATAGCGTAAAGCGCATCGTTACCGAATCCTCCCCATTCCTCTTCCTCACTTGCTCTGAGGATGGTGACGTCCGCCAGTGGGATCTGAGGCTACCATCTAGTGCATACCCTCCGCCACGCGGTGGCCAAGGCTTCATGGCATACCGACAAGGGTTAGAACATGATGGCTCGAATGTTCCACCGCCTCTCATATCTTACAGACCATACGGTTTGGACCTCAATACCATCTCCTGCTCGCCAAGTCAGCCGCATTATATTGCCTTGGGTGGTGCGCACCTCTACTGCTTTTTGCATGACAGACGAATGCTTGGCCAGAAGACCTCTGCTAGTGCTGCCAGCCTCAATAATGACGAAGAGATGAGCAAGGCGACGCGATGCGTGCGAAGATTCGCACCGGGTGGCAAGCACAATTTGAAATTCGATGATGGACATATCACTGCTTGTAAAATCAGTGATGCGAACCCCAATGAGATGGTTGTTAGCTGGTCTGGGGATCACATTTACAGTTTTGATTTAATCCGCAGCCCAGATGCCCGAGAGGTACAGGCGGGCGATAAATCGACTCTCAAGGGCAAGGATCGACAGGCTCGCCGCAGTTCACGGAGCCGGAAGCGCAAGAAGCCCACAACACCTTCATCGCAAGAAAGTGATGGCCGACATCAGTCCCACCGTCGGTCAGCAGAGCCAGATAATTTTAGGATCCAATATGAGAATGGCGAATCAGAGGATGTCCCATTTCCCACATTATCAGATAGTGTCATAGACACCGACCCCGAGAATTTGCTCGAGCAGGCTCGGTATTCTGTGCTGAATGATGCCCAGCGATTGAGCATGCAGATTGCAAAGGGGTTAGTAGAACTTCGAAAGGCTCTGTTCTCAGAACCGACAGTCCGGGACGCCGCAGGGTCCGACGAGGTGGGACCCGAATCGTACTCGAGATATTTTTCATCCGCACTGGAAATTGCGTCTACGTTTCTTCCACAAATGGGCAATGTCATGCGCGACTGGCGCTATCCCGTGAACCCATCACAGGAGACAGTTAATTTCCAGCAATCGCTTCGTCGCAATCGCCAATCGTCATGGAGATTTGTCCAGGCTGCTGGCACACTTGCTCATGCATTGGCAGATCAAACGCAAGTTCTGGAAGAATCAAGTTTCCAAATGATCAGGCCTGCACCAGGCGAAGATGGCCCTATTGAGCTGGCAGCTCAGTTTGGCTATGAATTCCTCCGGGCAATTCTTCTTTGGCTGCAGGGTGGCAGGCGGCGTCTTCTAGAGGGCTTTCAACACCACAATGCCCCTCGACGATTACATTGCCGATTTCCTATCCCAGATGAGTCAGGAGAGGATGCCATCGAAACCATTCTAGTACCCTACATTATGGAATTGGCCCGTGACACTCCGATTGTGAATGTTGACGCCTCCAGATTCGAGCATGACAGTACGCGCATTCTGTTCCAAACCCAACGGGCTGCCGTGACTGCATTTGGGAATGCTATTAGATTGCCCTTGGAAGATCTTGGGGGCTCGGCTGCTCGGTTCGACAGAAGCCGTGCTTCTAATCCTGCCTCACAAATCCGCTCTCTCGACCGGGCCTCTGCGAAGAGGTTCTGGATTTTACGAGTGGGCCGAGGAATCTTGATGGGGGCAGGCAGTGAAGTAAATTACAGATTTGTCAACAATGCTTTCGGCGGACTTCACACCACAACGAACGAGTCTAATGATTTGAATGAAGAAAGGGACCCAGTTTATACCGATCGCAATGTGGAGGAAGAACGAATCCAACACATTGAACTCATCGGGGCTAGGCAAAATAACCCTCGGCCTGAAATCTCTCGAGGCGGTGCAACTTCTTCGGACAATAGCGACGTCAATACAGACGAGAATGATAGCGATGACAGCCATGCAGAAGATTCAACCGACGATGAAGACCATGATGGCTGGCCCATGCATTTATCTTCAGATGAAGATAGTGAGGGATTTGATTCCGATGACAATATGCCCCAGAGATATGCCATTAGAAAGGCACGACATGAGAATGTCGAGCGCCATGCTCCATGTGTGCCTCACATGAGAAGCTATCGCGGTCACTGTAACGTCAAGACCGTCAAGGATGTCAATTATTTCGGACTAGATGATGAGTACGTGGTCAGCGGCTGTGATTCTGGCCATATATTTATCTGGGACCGCAAGACGTCGAATCTAGTCAACATCCTAGAAGGCGATAGTGAGGTTGTCAATGTTGTTCAAGGTAATTTCCTTCACTGGTTAAAAAGACAAAGATTAACATTGTGATTTAGGCCATCCCTATGAACCAATGATCGCCGCTTCAGGAATCGATAGCACTATCAAAATCTTTTCACCAGACCGGAACGCTCAAGATGATGCCCGTAATGGTGTGAACATCCTCGACCCTGACAATCCATCAAACGCGTTTGGACAAAACAACTCTAGTATCGGCGGTCTCGTGAGCCGGAAGCGAGTTCATGAAAGCTACCGTATCATGAGCCAAAACGATGTTGAACGTCGTGGTGGTATGAGTGAGGCACACATCACTGTAAATTACTTGCCCTCGATCTCTATATAGATCTTTTTGCTGACTATTACCTGAAGCGGAGCATGCTCGAGCGCCTGGCTGTTAACCTGAGGGGCCGACATGGCGGCCTTGGAATTGATGATATTGCTGCTTCCGGTGACCATCGGACCGTTGTCATCGACGATAATTGCTCGGTATGTCAGGATTTCTTCCCTATACGTGGGAATGATACTAATCATTCGATAGGTGATGTGATAGATGAACAGGCAGAGCTCTGGATATCTGCATTTGCACAGTGTCAAAAAGATCATCAGTCTCATAACCTCATACATTTATTGTCATAGCATCGCATTACAGTCTCTAATGCAAGAAGGCACTCTTTTACTTCTTTCATTCCTTTCTTCAAGGCTGCACCTGCCCTTTCTATATTTAGGTACCTTCCTTCCTTATAAAGCCAAGCAAGGCCTAGAATACCTACTATCACCCCAACAACTACGAGAGCCCTATATTCAAGCAACACTACACACATCTCCTTGTCGGTCCCACTGAAACCGAATCTTACCTCATGGTATGAAATCCTCTATCCGCAATCCACGAGAATGGAATGTCGCCAAGAAGAACCTCTCGTGACTATAAAAGGCGGTTTAATTGAAAGTCGCTATTTCAGGAACAGCAGCGAAATTGCATCGAGATATAGATCTATAGGGAATGCGAAAACTCCCATGGCAGACCAACCATCACTGTGGATAAATGTGAGTGTGATGAAACAAATGTGTCTTCGACGCGCCAACGTACGTCTTGCGTCATTAACAGCGCTCTCTCAGCACAACCTCAGATGTGTCGAATCATATACAACTAATCTCCGATAGTCAGAAGTCGCTATGCTGGATATCGGCCTGCTACTATATTTGCTGCCGGGAAGATCTAAAGAATGTCACGATTGGCACTTGCGGGACTCGTACTTTTCCGTCTGGGATTGTACCGTTGGTCGTTCCTTCCCATTCGAAGGAACTCGTTTGCGCAGACAGTCGTACCTTCCTTCTGAGGGAAGCGAGGATAGGGCTTTGCCCCCGAAGGGTTATAAAGACCCATTTGTTGTTTTACATTTGTTTTCTTTTCTTTTTCTTCTTCGTACTTGATATTCGTTTAGCAATGCACTTCTTCTGTTAGAAAGAAGAGGAAAAGAAGTAGGGCGCCTTGAGCTAGCTCTTCTTACAACATGTTATACCCGCTGATCTTACGGCATATGGTAGCGATATGTGTACCCCTGTATGTATAATTGCAGACACTGGCGGTATTGTCAGTCAAATCCATACTCGGAAATGACCGAAGTCTTTTTTTTGGTTTCGTCGATTATTTTCTATCGAGCTTATTATGAAGTGTACTCGTGTTAATATCAATGTGAGTTTAAATGATGATCCCAAGTCACAAATGGATCAAGTATCAGTTCAATTAGAAATTTATGCCCAGGAAATGAGGTTTCCTTCTGATAATTGGCATGCATGTCTTCGTTCTTCGTCTCGTCAACCTAGAATATTAGATGGTACAGTAGAGACTGGTGCGGATATATTGACTAGTGGTGATATTGCTGGCAACAATATATTGGGCGGGTGTGTAATATAATCAGCAAACTAGATATTCCTATAGATGCAGATATGGATTTCTGATGGGACTACAGTGTAGTGATGCAATTGAAGAGGGAGAGAGTTGTCAATTCCTAAAGGGCAGAATGCCCAACTATCTAGTTATGGGGGTTGGTGCCTGCCGTACCGGGCTGATGGTCAGGTGACCACCATGTCTAACATACCCCCCTAGGCATAATCCCGAGGAATGCACTCGTCTGTTTATTCGTTGTTTTTTTTTTTTTTTTTTTTTCGATGTTAAGTTATTTCGTCCAACTTTTACCTCGTCAGGTTTCCTTATTAGGTATCTTGGCCATCATCTTCTTCCTCATTAGTTCAAAAAGCTCCTGCGCCAGTGGCTTTGTCAGGGTATCTGCGATATTTTGCGTACTTACAATAAGTTTGAGTTTAATAATCCCTTCTCTGACTATATGCCTGATAAAGTGGTATCTGGCATCTACCTACTTCGTTCCTTTTAAGTAGTTATCCTTTTTTATAATAGATACTGCGTTATCGCTATCTAAGTAGATAGTAATTAGTAGTTTCTATCGTTTTCCTATCTAATCTATAATCTTTAGGAGCTATATATACTTATAAATTACAGTATTAAAGGTAATATACTCCGCTACTATACTACTTCTAGTAATAATTTCTTCTTTCTTAGAGGACCAGCTAATAGGTCCCCTAGTATAGTAAAAGATAAATACCTCAGTGCTTTTACTATCCTTACAATTGTAATATAATATATTAATATATCCGATTAGACTAATCGATAGGTCTTTCCTAAGAAGGATACCTAGGTCTATTGTCCCCTTAATATATCTATTTAGCTGTTTAAGTATATTAACGTCCTCTTCTCTTAGGGCAGAGGCTCTTCTCTAGAGTTTATTAACTATAAGGGCGATATTAGGTCTTAATTTATTAGTTAGCTACCCTAGCTTACCGATATCTTCGATAAATCTTTTCACTTCCTCTTTTATAACCTAGGGTTAATCTTCTTCGAGATTATTCTCTATCTTCCTTATATCTTTATCTTCTTTTAAGTTTATAATATCTAGAGACTTATATATTATTTTTATTAGGAGATAGACTTTGTAAAGGTATACGTTATACAGGTATACGGCCTGTCAACCGGGTAAGATATAAAGGGCTTTTTGGAGGGAATACAATGTATTAATGATATGCCAAGACTAATTCTTACTAGTCTCAGAGGGGCCCCTAGGGGGTCCTAAACTATAAGGAAATCTATCTGCCTATATTCATATAATAAACCCCTCACAGATTAATATCGAAATAGATATATGATAATATAGATATTCCTTCCTAAGCCTATATAGGTTTATATATATTTCCCTCTTATATAGACCTTTATCTATTATAATTATCTCCCTTTCCTTACGCGGATATCCTTATCTATATATAAATAGAAATATTAAAGGATAAAAGGATAAAGAATTAGGGAGATATCAGAGAGTTTCTATAATAAAGAAAGTAAAGTAGTAGATATTATTAAAGAAGATAAGGTAGTATATAATAATTTAAAGAGAAGGTAACCGATAAGGTATATACTCTATATTTTATATTTCTTTTAAAAGAGTGGCTATATAATTATTATATTTCTTTAAAATTAATAATATATAGGTATATATTATCTTTTTAGTAGAAAGGTATTATATAGACTTCTAGAATTCGCTTTTAATCCTATACTAATTCTCTACTAGAATATATATATTTTATAAAGACTATATTCTATAAAATATTAATATTTTTCTATAATATAGAGAATATCTAGGAATAGCTTTTTATATAGGATTTCTAATAGTAAGGGATTTAAAGAGGTATAAATTTAGTCTCTATAGCTATATTCTTTATAGGTATTTATATAAAGAAATATACTTATAATAACTATTATTCGAGATATAATTATATTCCTTTAATAGATTTATAGTAGGTAATTATAATTATAGTATAATTACTACCCTTTCCCTTCTACTTTTCTATAATCTCTAGACCCCTTCTTCCAATTATTTTATCTATATAATAATACTAAATCCTTAGTATAATAGTAAAGACTACTAGTTTAAAGGGAATATATTAAAAAACTATTATAAACCCTATTCTTTATTAGTAGGCCTAGTATCTCTTATATATATAAGTATCTAACTAAGATTAGGGTAAGGATAAGGATAATTATTATTTCCCTTTAGTAATCTAATACTATATTAATATACTATATAGTAAATCTTATATATATTATTTAAAAGTATACTATATATATAATTTAGTATATCTTCTTAGCTACTTTAGCTATATTCTAATAGAACTTATACTAACCTTAGAACTAGGTTTCTACTAGTATTAAGGGAAATTATTTCTAGTTACTAGTAGTTCTTTCCTAGATAGAGTAATTTTAGTTAATAACTAAAGGGACCTTTAGAGTAACTATAGGTATATTAGATAAAGATAATAAGGAAGTATAGTTCCTTTTCCCTTCTAAGTTTATTAAGGTAGTTATAAATATAGTTTATAATCTAATTATAGCTTTTAATACCCTTATAAGAGTATATTATAGGAACTATAGTTTAAATAAGATATATATTCCTACTATAAATATTAAGATAAATCTAGTCTTCCTTATAATAGTTTTACTAATATTTCTTCCTAGTTTATTTATAATAATTATATAACCTTTATTACTAAGTATCCTATAGGTAACTAGGATACTTATACTACTATTTATCCCTAAGATATCCTTATAGTATAGGCCTTAGAGTAACCCTAACTTATAAATTTAGAAGAGTTACTTATTACTTAGATAGGTACTATAATTTTATTCTAATAAACTTACTCTAAGGTAGTAGAATTACTTAATAATCTAAATATAGAGGTAATACTTAAGGAATATATAACTATCTTTTCTTATAGTAATTAGATACTATAGCTATAATAATTTAATAGTAGCCTAGTATAGATACTACTTAGGTTAATTTCTTTTATATCTTTTATACCTTTTTATATTTTATAATAAGCTTTAGTATATTAGTTATTATACTCTCTAGGACCTATTAGTTATATTTAAAAGGCTAACCCTACTATTTAACTAGATAATATAATTTATCCTTAAAAATATAGTTATCCTTAACCTCTTTAACCTCCTATTTATTATTATCTATTAATTCTAATAGTAGTAATTATTCTAATTCCCCTTCTCTTTATTCTTATAGTTAAAGGAGGGAGATAGGGAAAATATTATAAATTATAGTATATTTATCTAGAAGTAGGAGGTAGTATACCTACTTTCTAATATATTCTAAAATTCTAAATAATCTAATCTATTAAGAAGATAGCTTTTTAGTAGTTCTTTCTTTTAACTATAGGTTTTTAGTAGATAAGGTTATAAGGTTATTCTTCTTAAAGGATATTACTTAATAGTATTTATTATATTAATTTACCTATACTTTAGTAGCTTTTTACTATAATATCTATAGCTTCCTATATAGCTTATTTAGTTTTTTAAATCTATATAGTATAGCTAGTACCTCCCTCTTAATATAGGTATCCTTACTATAAATTTAGAAGTTAGGATTAAAACCTAGGAATACTTAGAATAGAGATATACTAGTAGTTATATTA